AATACATCGAAACGATTTCATTTCAATTGTAGTAATAATAATAATAAAAATAATAATAAATATAATGAATTGCTAATAATAATAAATAATAAACTATTAAAAATTGAACGACGTTATCAACACGCTGATACCAACACAGCAACTAAAACAATGATAAGAACACGATAAAGAACCTAACTGATAAAAAATCTTGATAAACCTCGGGGGTGGGGACAATTTGCCAAACCAAACATTCAGGAACGAATCGCCACGCCACATCAACGGTATGGGACAAAATGCCAATGCCAATCTCAACCCAACCAGTTTTAGGTCCCCAAAAACCATTTACACACTCCCTTAATTCCTTACTTGCCCAAATCGGGCAAATTTTTCCCCGGGCACAAAACCGACCCCTAGAATAAATATCCCCAATCACCCCCCTTCCAGCTCCGTACCAAACATCCTCCCAAATCCACAACGCTCACTTCTACTACCGCGACCATCCCAACCTTTGGCAAAATGTCCCCCTCAAATAAATTGGCAATTTGACCGTTCCCGCCCAATTCTAACTCTATTCACCACCATCCTCCATTAAAATCCGCCGCATCGCCCACGAATAGCTCCAAGACATTGTACAAAACAACAACCTTCTTTATTTACGATTAATAAACACTTCAGTCAAAAATATAAATCAGATGAAAAACATCTCAAAAAGCAACTAAAAAATAGGAATTTTTCATTAAAAACACCCTTTCCAAATGGAAATCGAACCAAAAAATTTTAAAAAATCAAAAATCAAACGCCAAATCAAATAAACCTTTAAAAAAACACGAAACCAGGTAGATTGCAGAATGTAGATTAAGACGGCTTTAAAATATTTTTTTAGCCACAAAAAATATCCGCCCGCTTCCTAAGGGAGTTCAGCTGCATTTTCGGGCAGAACCACGGCTTGGAGTGCCGGGTAGGAATTGCCCTGGTGGGTGGGTATGGCTTGTCCTTTGGGTAAATTGGAAATTGTCCGCCTCGCCTCGTTCTATTCCCCCCTCAATACCAAAAAATAAACCTCACGAGAGCCCGGGTTGTTCCATAAACTACCCGTGCGGGCAAGTAACTAATTAACTAATCTGCTCCAATACCAACTAACCTCCTCCAATACCAAAAAATAAACCTCACGAGAGCCCGGGTTGTTCCATAAACTACCCGTGCGGGCAAGTAACTAATTAACTAATCTGCTCTATCAAAGGATTCAAGCGGAAATATAACGACATTCGATGAAACGTCAAAGAGAAAAACACTGACCACGCAATCCGTGAAAATAGTACTAGGCTGCAATGCAGCCAGCGAGAGGATCAGAGAAAAAAAGATATAGCCATTGATATTTCACCATTGCTTTCCCACAAATTTTCGGGTAAAAATATTTCCCTTCTCCAAACCGAGAAGAAAAAACATTTACCACAGTGACGAGAACACTAACAGGACATTTGACAGCAAAGAAAACTGGTGAGGACCATTTCGCCAAATGTTCGTGGGCGGAGCTTCGCCCACCCATTGCCAACACTAACGAAAACTCGCCAACAAGCTCCGCCCCCCAAAAAATTGGCAAATTTGCCCCACCAACTTTCCCAACCGCCTCATATCAACATAATAATAATAATAATAATAATAATAATAATAATAATAATAACAATAATAAAGACAACAACAATCATAATAATAATAATAATAAAATAATAATAAAACAATAATAAAATAAAATTATAATAATAAAATCTTGATCCTTTCTCTCCCCAACATCAAAAAATATCACTCAAACCAACTCGTACAAATCAAACACAAAACACCAAACTACAAACTACACCAACACCAAACTTCAAAGTTCACTCTTCAGTGCCTTTCCCTTATAGTAATTGAACGTATTGGTCAGAGTCATGCCCATCTCATGCATACAACCGTGCCCATAGACGTATCCCAGACGAGCCAAAGACACCGGGTCGCAGTTTGCCAAAGCGCCGCTCGCGAGCCACACCCCGCTCAGTGGCGTCGCGCCGCGTCCATAACACGCCACGAACGTGTCGGCTGTGAGTTCGTAAGTGTAGCGTTCGAATTCGCCGTGTCGGAAGTTCGCTCCTAAATTTCAGTTTTGCAGCTCAAAATTCCCGAAAATCAGAAACAAATTTCCCGGAATTTCTCAAAAAATTGAAAAATATTCCCGAAAAATTCTCAAAATTTTGAAGAAAAATTTCAAAACATTGAAAAATTCTTTCGCCAATTCGGAAAATAATCTGAAATTTCCCAAAATCTGGGAAAAATTTTCCAAAATTGGTTCAAAAAAATTAAAAATTCTCAATATTTTTAAGAAAATACTCACCGATTTTAAACGACTCCTTATTCGCTCCGTTCGGACTGAACGCCAACCTGTGCACGTCACCATTCAGAACGGTGCACGTAATGTTGGCCCAGTGCCAACCTGAAATTTTTCCATTATAAAAAATAAACCAAAATCATAAAAATGCTTTAAAATTCACCCACCCCCTTAAAAAATTCCCAAAATTAACCATCACCCTTTAAAAATTCCTGAAATTAACCACTCCCCTCCAAAGAGACCCCTTCCAAAGGACCCCCCCCCCNCCCCTCCATAATTCATCGTACAAACTACAAATTCAAACAACACCATACTACAACAAACACTGACATCAAACTACAAACTACAAACTGCAAACAAAGTTCAATTTGGCAAAACGTCACCACCTGAGAAACCGGCCGTCGTGTGCGGCGCGTGCAGCACCACAATGAATTCGGTGGTCGATGCGTGCAGAAAGTTCACGCGCACGGACAATCCGCCCCCGTACGCCGCCTCCCACGGCGAGTCGATGATGTGCTGCGCATAGGAGCGACGCAAATCATTGCGCAGCTTGTTCACATTCGACAATCCACTTGCACCTGAATTTCACGTGATTTTCATGTGGGCGCCTAAATTTCACGTGATTTTCATGTGGGCGCCTGAATTTCACATGCCTTTTCCATTGAGCACGTGACTTTCACGTGGACAACATCAGAACACCACGCCCGNCCTCCCCCCATTAGGAACCTGAAATTTGCACCACCCTGTCCAAGTACCACATTCCAAGTCTGATACTCCATGAATATACCCACCCTCAGGCTGCTGGCATATCGCCAAGTCCCGCCCTCATTTTGTTGGCACACTGCCAAATCCCGCCTCCAAACCATGTCGGCTCACCGCCAAACCCTGTCTCCGAACAATCATTCAGCAACAAATAACAATAAAAATAAACAATAATAAATAATAACAATAATAATAAACAATAATAAATAATAACAATAATAATAAACAATAATAAATAACAATAAATAATAATAATAAATAACAACAAATAACAAATAATAACCGAACCAACCCACCATGCGCCAATCCCGCCAGTCGTCTAAACTCCTTCGGTGAGAATGTATACGATTTCCATTTCAGTACGTACTGCGTGGCACTATACAAAATTATAGCGAATATGATATACCGCACGGTTCGAGTGAAGAAGAATGCCATTCTGCCAATTTGCTCACCTTTTCTTCTCTGGATCTCTCCTGAAATCGTTATGTCTAGCTAGCCGATTGGGCCGTTCGACCGTTACCGATGCAAAGTGGCCGAATAAACGCATTAATAATTAATAATAATGACAATAATAAATAACTATAACAATAAAAAATAATATAACAGTAATAATAATAATAACTATAACAATAATAATAACTAACTATAACAACAATAATAACTATATAACAATAATGATTAATAATAATAATAAATAATAATATAACAATAATAAATAATACTATAATAATAATAAATAATAACATAATAATTCAATACTACTTATCACCCCACCTCCCCTATACAAATACTATCTATATTTGAACACCTTTCCACTGCTCACTACAATGTACTCTCCTTATTCGATAACAATAACAATAATAATAACTATAAATAATATATAACCAATAATAATAATCCAATATAATATTAATACTAATAATTCAATAACAATAATAATAACAACCAATAATAATAAATTAATATAAAGTAATACAATAAAGCAATAAAGTAAATAAGTAATGATAAAGTAATAAATAGTAATATAATAATAATAATAATAATAAACAACCATTTTCACCCAATACAATAACAATAATAAAATAATATGATAACAAATAATAATAATAAAGTAATATGAAGTAATATAATAAAGTAAATAAGTAACGATAAAGTAATAAATAAAGTAATACAATAATAAATAATAAATAATAATAATAATAAATAATAATAAACAACCAACTCCACCCAAACCACTGATAACACCACTAAAATCCACCCGTCAATCACGATAAAATCACAAAACAATAAAAAATCTAATGACACGTCACATTACCGATAAAAATCAATAATCACAACTATTACTACTATTATTACTATAAACATCTATAATAATAATATACAATAATAATACGTTACATAATAATAAAAACAATATACAATAATATTATATAATAATAATATATAATAGTAATAATATATAATAAAAATAATAAATAAGACCAATAATTCATATCAATTATACTAACAATAATTATTATTGTTTTTAACATTGCATAATAATCATATATAATACCAATAACAATATATAATGATAACATCAATAATAATAATAATAATAATATATAATAACAATAATAATATATAATAATAATAATATATAATAATAATAATAATAATAAAAACAATAAAAACAACGTCAAATACTCACACAAACCAATAATAACCCAAAAATCAACGTCAAAACCAGTTCTCCCCTCTAACAACCAAATATTAACCCAACCCACCACCTACAACTCAATCTCACCTCAACAATCACGTTAACACTTCAAATTCCCTATTTCCCTTACGAATAGGCCTGTTTTGAGGTTTTTCTTCGTCTACTTATTAATAGTAATAATAAATAATAATAAACTGTAACTAAAATACTAAAAATAATAAATAATAACAATAGTAAATCAAGAGA